CTGCCCTTATGGACCTGATGGGATCTGTGGAGGTTAGTGTTTGAATTTTTTGGGGGGCCATTACAATGTCCACAACCTTGTTTTTTTTTTTTACATTTTTTTTAAACCTGTAGATTTTAAACAATTTTTACAAATATTTAAAAGTAAAAAAAAGTTCCCCTTTCAGACCTTGTAGTCTATAGGGCAGATGATGTAAAGGTCATCTGCTTCTGTGGCCTACAATTAACAAGGGTGTCATGTGGCCAGCACAACAACCAACCCCTTTACTTTTCCCCAACTAATGTCAGGTACCCATTAGAGCTGGGTGGACTCAGAGGCGCCCAAAGATCCCGAAATTAAAAATCCCAGTCTTCACCAGGATTCAAACTCCGGACCCTGGTTTGGAAGTCAAGCTCAGACACATTGCCTCATTTAAAAATATTTATTTGAACTGAATTATTGGCTCAAAAGGAGGGATGTTTGTAGCATCAGTAGAGCTTTTGATTGGGTTTGAGCTCCACTTTCCGCCTTATAGCTGAGTTCATCAAATGTTTGCCTTCAACTTGAGACTCTAACACCTTCATGGCATCAAATCTTAGTTCTCCTTAACCAGTCTTTTCCTCAATCTTCAAGTCTTCACTTGTGTCTTCTTTTCTTTAAGAAATTTTCATTTGCACATGTCCTCAGGCAAATCCAAAGGATCCTGTATCTGTGGGAAGTGTGTATGTGACAGCAGCTGGTCTGGGGAAAACTGTGAATGTACAAAGGATACAAAAAGTTGCTTGGCCTCCAATGGGGTATGTAACAAACAAGGATTTAATCAAGTTCTTCTTCAAACAGGAAATCTAGATCCAATTAGTTTCAACAGCTAAAGATGTTACTGTACATACTCAGAAAATGAAAAAACTGTGGTTTGAAAAATTTATGGTCTCTTAAACAAACTATTGAAATTTTCTCTATTAATGGAATGAAATGAATAGGTGATAGAGGACAATTTTCAGCTTGTTTAAACACTCGCTACTGTACATTTGTTGGTATAATCACATTGTTTTGAACCAGCTTCTTGTCTTGTTGTTTTAGGAAGTGTGCAATGGGTTTGGAGACTGCGTATGTGGTAAATGCCAATGTGAAAGAAACTCAGGTATGGTGGGGCCAACTTGTGAGGATTGTCCAGTAAGTAAACAACTGTTCAGATAATTTGTAATAAAAATTGAATTTATAGTATTAGTTTTATTATTTTCATCCCATAGCAAAAAAAAACTAGATTTCTTCTGGAACAAAAGAGTTCAAAAGTTGCATGTCATATTTTCTGAGTGTTTTTTTTAAATCATTCACACAAAATGTAATTGTCTTGTCAGAATTGTCCAAGTCGATGCAGTCAATACATTGATTGTGCTCAATGCAAAGCTCACAGTTCTGGAAAGTTTAATCGCTTTGAATGCGATAAAAGTTGTCGAAACGTCACTCTAGTGGATTCACTTAAATGTAAATATATTTATATATCTCTAGATGAGTGAAATATATTTGCTTCATGCCCAGTATGTTTAGAAAATATTATTGATTCTTTTTGTTTTTCTTGGCTTTTTTTTTTACATTTTGAATCATGCATGTTTAATAATAATATCTTATCTATTTTCCAAACTTCTTTAAGCTGGTAAAGGTATAAAAGAGTGTGATGGCATTGATGTTGATGGCTGTACATTCTTCTTTACTTATGAATACACACCATCAAATGATGTTTTAATAGAAGCACAGAAAACTAAGGGTAAGAATAATTTGACTTACATACAATGAAACTTCATAGTTGTATGACATGCCTGACCATCTATAATAATAAGTCTCTATTCAAACCAATTTACTTGGGTGTCATTCATTTCTGTGATCACAGTTGAACTGTTTCTATCCAATGTAACACTTGCCAACTATACACATGCTAGAGGGTTAATAAAAGGTTGCACAGAACCACTTACACACTTTCAAATGTGTTAGATTATCAATCTACGCTAGGCCATCTAGTCTACTTGTCTGTAGTAAAGCTTGTGACATGTTAGCATTTTTATTTGTCAACAGTTATTATAATGATGCATGCACTTCTTTAGCGTAATTTAAACTTTGACAGGAATCATCATTTTTTAGAGCTATCATGAAAGTTTGAAATATGGTATTAAAATAAATGATTTTAAACTATTGGTATAAGTGATCAGTAAAATTCAGATTGAATCTGAATTCATTCACTCTAGTAACAAAAAGTCAGTTTTATAACTCCTTGACACACTAGAAAGTGTTTAGAACAAACATTTCAATTTCAAGCCATCATAGTTTTAAAAGTACAATAACTATTCTACTTGGTATTGTTGAATATACAATGTTTCACTGTATTCTTGAGAATATTATATTTGTTGTCTTTTTTTTTTTTTTTTTTTTAGTGCCAGAAAAGATAACACAATAACCCTAATAAACCACCAAGTTTGCATAGATTTCTCAGACACAAAGATAAAGGCACTTTTTTTGTTCCATATGCTAGGACAAATTTGCAGGAGGTTCTTATGTTTCATTGAACTTTTCTTTTTTAATAGCTTTCATGCTTATAGCATTCTCTTTTGTGGACCAGTGGGAGGAGGGGATACATGTGATTTTTTTGTGCTGCCTTTATGCACTCTTTAAACACGTCTGCTCAAGTTGGGTGTCAAACTCAAGCCCCCTTGATAGTTAACAAAGCCCCTCATGATAGGTAGCCAAGCAGTTTAACCCTCTCTGCCTCATATCTCAATTTGGATTTATGGATTTTTGTTTAAAACACCAAAATATCACTCATGGTTGACCAAAGTTTCATTTTCAGTTAATTCTTTAAGTTCAGTAGTATTGTTAACAATGATTTTAGACTGTATTGTTGAAGACTTTCTCTACAAAGTACCAGTATTTAACTTAAGTATTACTGTAACACACTTGTTGTGTATGGTTGAAGAATGCTGGGTTCGTGTATCCACTCAACAAGTGACAAACATAGATATTACAGATTGACTTAAATCCACTTTAGCAGACAAAATATCAAGTTTATTTAATAATAAAATATACTTCTTGTTAGTTACATAATCCAATAAGAAACATAATCACATCCATAACAGCGGTATCAAATATATCCAACATGTTAAGTTCTCCAGAATAGACTTACAAGTAATGTCCACATCACAGCGGGTAGCAATAAACAATAATAATATGTATCCAGCTCCAAATATAAAATAGCTATCAAAATATGTGTACTGTCTTACTGACTTCAAGTGACTACTCTCAACTTAACTTGAGTTCCTACTGTCCGCAACAGACCAAAAATACTACTGACTTCGACTGCTTAAAAGCTACTACTCTCTCCAAGTGACCAAAAGATACTACCGACTGTCAGTGACCACTCTCTCGACCCTTAAGGTTACTACTCGGCTAAAAGTCATTTTAGTAAACTTTTAGTCATTCTTACAACCTGTTTCTATATTAGGAGTTTCACGTGTCTTTTCACCAGAGATGAACATATAGCAGGCAATGTCAACCGAGACTGACAATTACAAATCGTGAATCTTAAAGTTTCCCAACTCTGTGACCATCACATTGTCCAACCTTAATTTTTTCTCAACTGGCAACATAACTACATAATCATGACCTAAAATAGGCCCTATTCAATTCCCATTTCTGCCAATGTAAATTTACATATCTTCTGTATAATTATTCTCTAAAATTGTAATGATGTAACACTTCTCTGTTTAGATTGTCCTGCAGCGGCCAATGTAGCAGCCATAGTTGGTGGAACAGTAGCTGCTGTAGTTCTCATTCCACTCCTCATTATCTGTCTGATCATTTTGATAAGAAATCGTCGTGATGCCAAAGAATATGCTGACTTCATGAAAGAAAGAGATAGAGCCAAATGGGAATCTGTAAGTTGTTGTAGAGCCAAATAAGGATTTAAAAACTGTTTTAGAGCCAAATGAGAATCTATAAGTTATTTTAGAGCCAAATGGGAATCTGTAAGTTGTTTTAGATCTAAATGGAATCGAATGGGAATCTCAACTATTTGACCACTATTCATACCCATACATACTCTTCCAATTTAAAAGATGCAGTCTCAAAATGCAAAGTTTACCTATACTTTTTAACACTATAAAATAGAATAACTAAAACTGTAGTTAGGTTAAAATATGTTCAATGTTCCATTTGTTAAGTTAACCTCGTTTCTTTTTTTTTGTTTCAGGGAGCTAACCCTATTTATAAGGATCCCAAGAGCACTTTCAAAAATCCAACCTATGGAGGAGAGAAATAACTTCAAAGAAAGTTTTTTTTTTATTAAGGGCAATTTTTAGCATAGTTTCAACACTGACTGCTTTTAATATCTCCACTGAAGTTGATATCTTAAGAATTTACATTTGCAAGATTTTTTACTGCTTTATAAGTGACAGCTATTTTGTTAATTTGATCGTAACCAAACAATTCTAGGTCAAGTTTTTCAATATTTAAGCATTATGTAATGGTCCACTGTATTACTTACAAGCACAAACCATGTGACTCATTTTGTCTTACAAGTTACAAGTAACAAAATTAGAATTTGTACACATTTGTCAATGAGCTCATATAGTGGTTGAGTTTTAACATACAACTACTGTTTTAGTCTCTATTTTTGTTATTGTAGTAGTACTACTTGGTGCTTTTTAAGTCTAAAGATTTTCTTTGTCTAGGTTGTGATATGGAATCTTTTGTAAGGAAGGATATGTTGAAACTATGGATGAAATACATGTTTTAGTTTCCTTGGTGAGAATGATAGTGTCTACTTACATTATTTTGTATTCATTTAGCCTGTTATTTTTGTTATATGCAGTGTTAAAAGCCTGGTACCTAAAAATCATTGCTAGTACTGGTTATATTTTTGTTTTGTAAATTAAACTAAGTCTTGTTTTAAGACCCTTGAAACTTAGATTCAACAGCCAGCTCTTCATATATTCAATCTTCTTAATGTTGGGGGACTGTCGACTACTAGAGAATCTTTTCATTGCATTAGAGGACACTGCAACAAATGAATAGTTAAGTAAAATTATTGCAGCTACTCATTAATGGATAGTTACCTAATCCAATTTAATCTGTGTTTGGTAGTTAACTTGGCCACACTCTTGAAATGTTCTCAGCTAAGGGACTGTAGTTCCCTTACAAATTCAGAAAGTACTTGTTTTACTTAAATCTGGACATTTTCACTAACTCTTGTCTTCCTTTAGTCAACAATGTCTTAGTGGAAACATTCTTCAATTGGCAGGCATTGGCCATAGTGCAAAAATATCCAGCTTTATTATTACCTTTAAGGCAGTTGCATATTACCATTCAATCAAATCAACGTTCACCACAATTTCTACTCTGTTGGCTTAAACCAAACATTTAGAATGCAGCAGTGATTGGCCTTATTTGTCTAACAAATATAGCAGGTAGCTTGTATGTCTCACCAATGAATGACTGATAGCAAATGGTTTTTGGAGGATGTTGTGGTCTTCTTAAGTACATATTGCCATCAGTGTAGTTACTTGCTAGAATCTATCTTTACATGGTGGCTGCAGCATTTCAGTTGTCAAATCAATGAAAATTAAGTGCTGTTGATTTTTTTTTTTTTTTTTGTGTAAAAATTACTTTTTCAATTATATTTGACAATACAGTGCTCTAATAGGATATATACATTGAAAATTAATATATTTTACAGTAAAACAAATACTGTGAATCATCAAACAAAGGTTCCATACTCTAAGCATTTGAAGATAGACTTCAGCATCCAGAATGTTTCTGTAAACCACCTTTTTTTTTTTTTTTTTAAGGATATAAATGTAGAAAATTGTGTACATGAGCTTGACCTATAATTGTGTGCCATGACTGCTTTTATAAGTCTTTTCATGAAAAACATAGTACTTTATATACCAGTACATGTTTTATTGGAGATTTCATCAATTAAATAATGGCATAGACACTAATTGAGTTTGAATTGAATTTGAACATCTCAATGTGTGGCAGTCAAGCTTAGTATATTACTGCTAGTTAGTTGCAAGTCTTTAAATACTGGTTAGGTGTAATGTAGTAAACTTCCTCCATAAAAAATCATTGTATATCACCAGCAGCTTATTAACACTTCCTATGTTTTGTACACCAGATACACCAAATAATTGCTAATTAAATCAATTAAAGCTTTTATATAGAGCTACTTTCATGCTTATAGTATGCTCAGAGCACTGTGGACCAGGTTGGGGGGGGGGGGGGGGGGGGGGGGGGGGGTGAGAAGGGTTTTCTGTGCTGCCTTTACTCAGTAAACACAACTCTGCTCAGTCCCCATCATAGGTGGCCAAGTGTACTTAGCCTCTCTGTCATGCATCCCAAATTTTCCACCATGTATATCTCCAAGATGTGTTTCTCATATAGATTGTAAGGGTGGATTTGTCCTGTGCGCAGGTAACCCCTTATTTGAGTGTTTAGTGTACTTTTTTGTCTTTTGCACCCTGCTAGCATTAATACTGCTTTGAACCTTCCAGTGTCATATATAAGCTGCACAATATGGCTGACAAAAATTACTCTACCTTTTTCTTTATACCTTCAAATTACAAATCTTCAAATTACAAATCCATGGATGGGAAAAAAATTTCTGTTAGTTTGGTTTACTTTAAATGGTGCCTTTAATTGGTCAAGAAGCAATGCATGTGGGGTTTCTTAAGCAGTACTGTATATTTTAAATATATACATATTAACATTTTCAAATATGTTTACTGTACTATATTTTCAACTATAAAGCATTAATTCCAATATGTTGGATTATTTGTGATACTCTTTAAAAGTTTTGCTCTCTACATATGTGTGTATTCATCTTGTGCTTGAGAATCAGGAATATATAATCATATGGTTTTCAATGCCATATTGCATGTATATTTGGTGCTATTTTGTTACAACTATTAGTTTGTGTTGTGATACTATCATTAAAAAAGGCATAGATACATTTCTTGTTTGTCATGCTTCATCCTTGTCTTGTGCAGTAAACAAAATCAATAGAATGTTTGTAATTAATATAGAGCCATTATTTTTATTACACAAATCTTTAAACACATTTAAGACTCAATGCCAAAAAATAATAATTAACAATTACTGTTTTGGTTTATTTAAAAATCAGTGCAACAGTTCATAGAAATCTGTTACTTTAATGGAGTCAAATGAAATTGGAAAAGGGAGGGAGAGGGGGAAAAAAATAGTCTGTTTCAAAACTGTACAGGTAGCTATATACATAAACAAGTCACTTACGACTGGCAATCTGTAGGGTTTTAAAAATGATATATGATCAAATGTTGGGGAAATGAATAAGCAACTACAGCATGATTACCAAAATTAACTGCTGAGAAAAAAAGTCAAGCTTATTTACAGTGTTGCAAATTACAAAATAGACCAAAAAAAAATAAAATACAAATACTCTCCTTTCTTTGAGAACTATTGTCACTGGGCAACCCTCCGTCAACAATATAGGCAAGTCAATGATTTTGATTGTGTCAAAAATGTATGATTGGCTATTTCTTTTATTGACAATCCCTTTGTTTATAATATAAATATGAAACATGTATATATATATTGGCCAAACCAGAGATAAATAAAAACAGATGTTTCATGGCTGACACAATCAATTAACAACAAACAATATTTACAAGGAACTCTTGCTAAAATATACACAACACTAGGAAAAAAATTAAAAAAAATGATAATACAAACACTACTAAATAAAAGTTTGTTTAAGTTTAAAAAGTAAAGGGTCAAAGCAACCACCCTTACATACAATCACAACTTCAAATTTAAAAGTGCCGTAAACTAACACACAGATAAAAAAGAAAAACAGAGGAATCTATTTTCTTATTTTATCTATACATTTTGTCTGCTTTTTAAACATGAAAGGACAGTATGCTAAGGTTGGCTTTATATACTGTCACAAGAGGCCAAGGACATGTCTACTTGGTAGCAGTGACAGTAGCAGTTGGCTTGTCATGTCATCCAGATTAAGGCAACTTTAATTGTTCCAGTACTGGGGTGCTCCATAACCTTTAGCACCTCCTGACTTGCTTTGATTGCCTTGTTGATTCAAGCCACGAGACGTGGAGCTGTTGGAGTCCTGAAAGAAAACAACAATTATTTATATATTACATAATCCTAACTTTTACAGGATTATAATGACGTGCTTTGGTGTTCACAAAAATATATGTTATCACCAGCAAAATTGATCAGAGTAAATGATTTCTTCAGCATATTACAGAAGAACGAAAGTCTTTTTACATCATCATATCAATAAGTGATTCATGTTAAATATGTTCTCGTCTAATAAAATGTATAACAACTTTTTATGTAAAAGTGGTTAGCCATCATAATCTGCCAATTTAGTCAACACAAAAAGTAATTACTGGTTCTAAATGCAATTGTAAAAACATTCAACAGATACATTATTAATTATAAGACTAACTCCTAAAATTAAAAAGTTAGAGGACTTAAAACAACAATCAATAAAAGGTCCTGTTTAATTCTGATCGTAGTGAAATGCAATGATATAAATACTTAGTGTGAATTAATCATTTTCCTAATTTTTTTTATGTAGCTAAAAATGCAAACAAAAAATAAAGGTAATTTGAAACTTCATAAGGTTTTTGTTAACTTGACATAAATGCCAAATAAATATTTCATTCATTGGTACAATTTTTATGTTAAATAAAACATTCCTTCATTCTACAGCAGAAAGAAAATCTTTGTAATAACTATATCAAATAAAACCATTTAACTGAGTACTGGGTTTTGGATTGGTAGAGAAGAATTAGCCAAGGTTATAATTGTATAAATGTCTAAGGTGATTATTGTTGGAATAAATATTTTAACATTACATTCCCCCCCCCCCCCCCCCCCAACCCACCCCCTTTATCTGTGTGTGTTTAGCAAGTTATCTAAAAACTACTGGCATACAAAGCATTCACAACAGAACATTCTGTTCAGATAGAATTAGAATGTAATCAAATGAAATAAGAAGTGACAAAGTGTTTGGACATTTTCTAAAACAACTCTTCCAGTCTCCAATGATAAAACTAAGTCTATGCTATTTTTGCTTTATGTGAAAACTCAATGTTTCTAGCTATTTATGATTTGTTTCTATTTGTTTTGTTATTTTAGCCCATACCTGTCTTCATAAAAAAGAGTAAGCTTTGTTTTGTAATGTTGAAAGTATCCTTTTTTAAAATCACATTTTCAATTTGTTTATAAGAAAAAAATGTCAAAAAAAAATTGAATTGGATGTTATTTAGTGGCTACAAATGAGACAGATACTTAATTTCATTAGTGTCTGAATATTAGTTCAAAAGTAAAAGTATAAATAAAGAAAAATAAATATGCATGATTAGTTCTGAAATGAGCAAAATGTTAGTTCTGGAAACAGATTCAGGTATAAAATACAAATGAAATTAATTCTTTAGCTGTCATATAGTACTGTAATGTAAGAAGTATTTTGGCTGGTGGGCTCACCTGTTGTATTGGATGGTGCATCATCTGAGAGTGAGGCTGATGAGCGGCCATGACAGGCACAAACGGGGCCCCATAGGGTGTTGTGGGTGCTGCCATTGGTCCTGCCTGGGTGGCTGTAGCTAGAGGCAAATTGAAAGGGGGAGGGGTACCACCATGAAAACCCTGCTTGTCAAATGCCTGAGAATATAAAGGGATATGGGACACTAGTCTCAATGACATGACATGATACTTAAGAAATGCTACTTAAATGAAAATATAATGTGTCCTTTTTACTACCATTAATACTCCTCTTGAAGCAACTGGAATGGGATATAATTGGTCTCAGCTCATCTGAGATTTTATATGTATGCTCAATATAAAATTGTGCTCTAGTGTAGTACACAATTTACATTATTAGTCAATCTGAAAGTTTGTATAAATCTATTATTTGATTGATGGTAGCAAGAATTCATCAACCCGTTTGTTTTTATTAAAACAAAACTATTGCTAGTATATAGTTCACCATTTTTTTCTTAATGAAATGTTAGTGATGGTCTAACTTTAAAACATCTCACTATTCAAAATTTAGTTCATGAATACAATTGGATCATTTTCCTGATTTATTCATGCAAAGTAGAATGAAACTAATACAGTGAGTTCTGAGATAACTTAAAATGTCATCAAAGATGGTTAGGGTCTATTAATAGTTGATGTCAAACAGCACTAATGCAATCTGTGCTCATTACTTTACAGAAAATCTTCTTACTTTTAATAGATAGGGATACAAAGTTTCAAGAGGTAGAGTAGTAATGGTAGTAATGAGACCTCAGTCCAATGAATCATATACATATATCTAGACAATCCTATATATTGATATTTTTTACAAGGTGAACTTTGTAAGAAACCTCACAGGATACAAATATTGCCTCTAACTGCCAGCCACTTTACTGACTTTAGCATTCAACAACAGAACCAACTACATACTGTAGGCATGTTTGGAAAATGTGTCAATGTTAAGTATTAATCCCTTCACCAGCAAGTTGAAATATCTAATTAAATATGAAAACTCAAAACTACAAGTTTAGGTAATGTGTCTACATTTAGCAATTCAAACCTTTTACCAGTAAGTGTTAAAGTGCTATCTAGCTACAGATGAGAAACTCACACAAATAAGGCATGTGAAGGCTTGAGTTAAAAAAAAAGAGATGCAGAGTGCTGAGTGAAACAAAAAAATCCATTCATTACCTGCGAATGAGTCTTGTTGTAAGCATTAGGAGTAATATCTGATGTTCCAGATCCTAAAATAGAAAAAACAAAACAAAAAACACTTTTTTGATATATAATTTTTTCCAATTGTGTTGCTAATTAAAAGATTTCAAAAAAACTAACTTAAAAAATTCATACATTTTACAAAAAAAATTAATTATTTAACTTTTTAACTTGAGTTATAAACAAATGTACTGAAATTCAAAAAGAGACAATTCTAGCGAAAGTAAATTGACTACTTATTAGTAAAGATAGAAAGTAAAAAAAAAAAATACAATAGAATACATACAACAGAATAGTGACACTAGATAGTTAATTGTGCAACCAGCACACACAATAATAACAGCTAAAACATATTTACTGTTATAAAACATGTTAGTGACTAAACCTACGTGTTCCTGAAGATTTTCCTGTGCTTGAAGAGCTGCCATAACCAGTCTTTGAAAAGTCCTGGGCCTGGTTTAATTCATCATAGCCTGACA